CTCCCTCTCCCTCTCCCTCCCTCTCCCTCGCCCTCCCTCGCCCTCCCTCGCCCCAAGCTCACCCCTGCCACTCTTCCTCCGCTCCCTCTCCCAACCCAGTGTGGCCGACTTGATTTTCTTGAATTACTTCTTCCGCGATCAAAACCTGCCGAACCTCCTCTCGGAGATCCTGACCGCGGTGCTTGTCTACCATCGTTCCTGGGTCTCGACCATCATCCCCAAAGCCACAACCAGCCGCCTGCCGGCCGGGGCTGCCGCCACTGCCGGTGACAGCCCGCGCGGCAGTCGGCGGCCTGGCCTGTCGGCGGCCTCGGCCCAGGCGGCCTGCCTGTATGGGAGCGTCGCTCCGCACACGGTGTCCGAGCTGTCGGCCAGCGCCGATCCCCAAGTGACCGCGGCTCGTGCCACGGCCTCGGTTCCCATCCCGGCCTCGGGCCTGGGCGACGGGTCGGCCGCCAGCACGCCGGCCACGCCGGCCTCGTCGTTGAGTCTGGGCGGCGATTCGGCCGGGCCCCTGGCCGATGAGGACTCCACTCCGGCCATGGAGCATGGTGCCCCGGTGGCAGCCACACCCAAGTCCGTCTCCGGGCTCACCCAATCGCGAGTGGTCATTGTCGGTGGCCCGGCCCGGGTGACCAAGGCCCTGTTGAATGTCCTTTCCTACTTCCTGCGATGTTCCCCGGAGGTGGGCATCCAAGTGACCCCCGACGGGGCTTCCGAGTCCCCGCCTCCGGCCAATCCCACCGCCGCCAGCAGCAAGCCGGCTTGTCGTTTCATCGTGCCGCTGCCCTGTCATGCCGGCGGGTCGCGGGTCGCCACGGCACCGGCCTCGTCAGGCCCCTCCCCGTCATCCTCGTCCTCCTCGCCCTTCTCCTCTTCCGCTCCGGCCTCGTCTTCCTGGTCATCATCCGCAGCGGCATCATCTTCCTCTTCTTCGCCATCGTCGACGCCAGCCCGGCCTCGCCCGGCTCGATCATCCATGCCGTCCCTTCGCCCTGACCGGCGTCCTGGCGGCGGCATGCCTTCGGGCCACCCCCTGTTGGGTGGCCTGTGTCCGCATGGATTCACCCCGGATCTGGTGTTGCAGGCGATCCCCTTCCGCAGCATGCCGGTGTTGCCCTTCACACCTGCCGAGGCCCTGGCCGGGGCCGTGCCCGCCGGGCCGTCGCCCACCGGCGGCGGGCCATCCGGACAACTTGTCGGCGACTCGCCCACCGGGGCCCTGGACCGCCTGGTGCGAGACGTGCGTGGGGCTCTTGGCCGGCGTCTGCCCACCGGTGCCGGTGGCACTGCCCGCTCGGCCCCGGTGGTGCGGAGCTCGGCCGTGGTCATTGACTTGACATCCCTCGGGTCGTGGGGAGCTGGCTGGCTGGTTCCGTCGCTCCGGCGCCCGGTCCGCCCGGGGCCTCCTCCCCCCGGGCCAGCCGGGGGGGTTCCTGCCTCGGCGGCAGCAGCGGCCGCGGCCGCGGCCGCCGCCGTTGTCCACGCGGCCGGCGCCGGTGCCAGTCTTGTGGCCTCCTCGCCCGGGCCCGGGTCGCCGGCTGTTCCGGCGGGTGCCGCGGCGACCGAGGCCGAGCCCTCCATGTCCACTCTCACGGCTCCCTTCCCCCGGGGGGGCGCGGCCTGCTCGGTGGACTCCACTGGCCGGCCGATTGTCTTCATCCTGGAAAGCCAGCTCCTGCCCTCGCTCCGAGCCACCCCCACCCGCCGGCGCCTGGTGACCAGTTCGCCCTCGGTGGCTGCGCTGCTGCACACGGTGGAACTTCTCCATCGGACTGGTCTTCCCTCGGCTGTGGTATGTTCTCCCTCCCCCCCCCCCCAGCCGCGCCCTCCCGTGCATGCGCCCGCTTGGGACCGGGGCTTGTTCCTTGTTCGCCGCCCCTCGCCCCCCTCCCCTCCCCCTCGCCCCCCTTCCTCCTTTTCTCTTCGGTGGCTCTGACCTGCTGCCCGCGCTCCCAGGTTTCCCAGCACATGGAGGACAGCCTTCAGGTGCTCTTCCTCCGCAGCGTCCTCCTGGCGGAGTATGTCGCCTCGATTTCGGTCCCTGCCCCGATGGCCTCGCCTTCGGGCCCGGGCCGCCAGCCGACACCGGTGATGGATCCCTCTCTCGAGGCCAATGGGGCTCCTGCCATGGCACAGCCAGCCACATCGTCATCCGTCCCCGGGGGCGGACAATCGATCGCACAACACATGCCACCCTCGCTCACGTATCGCCACGTGTCGCAGAAGCTCGGCCTGCCCCTTGGTGACATGCCGCTGCTGGTGGCCATCGCTTCGACGCACTCCGACTACTATGGGCGGCCGTTGGATGCCTGTCTCATGGCGCCGGGCTCGGCGCCAGGGCCTGCCGGCGCCGCCGATCCTCCCCACCTTGCGGCGGTGGCCCCGGCCCTCGCACAGGAGGATGGCACGCCACTGGATCGGATTCTCTCCTTCTCGACGCGGTTTTTGGCCAGCGAGAAGCTCTTCGACTCGATGCTCGGGCATCCCTCCCTCTTGACGCCATTCGGTGTGGTGGCCGGCGCCGGCGCCAGCCCCTCACACCGTCATGGCCCCCACCCGGCCGTCGTTGCCACCATGTAAAGGTTGGCCATGTGTCCCGCCCGGCACCCGGCCTGGCTTCATCTCTTCACATCCCCCCCCCCCTCTCCTCCCTCCCTTGCCACCAAGAGCAGGCCGCCGCCTGTGTCCTCGGGGATGTCTCCCCTTCTGTACATTACACTTCTCCCCCCCCCCCCTCTCCTCCTGCCCGCGAGGCCCGATTGGGCATGCGGGTGCGAGCACAATAGATCGTTCTCTTGCAGTGGTTTCTTTTTCATTTTTCAAGACCTCTTGACTCGTGCCCCGGCGGGAGCAGGGGACGCTCCAGAGATGGGGGGGGGGGGGGGCGCCGATGGCCTATGTATTGCGCATGGGCCCCACCTACCCAATGGTAGACAGCGTTTGCCCGGTACTCAAGACACAGGTGATAATGCCCACCACGAGGACCAGGACCGGGCCCAGGAGCTCCGGCTCGGACTTCAGCCACCGGCTCAGGCCGGCCAGGTAGCCGTCCGGGGCCGGCGTGGAAGCCGCACTCGGGTGCCTGTCTGCCAGGGCCGGGCTGGCGTGGGCCGGTGTGGCCGGCGGCCGGACGCGTTTCCGCACGGCTAGAGCCATCACCGCGGGGAAGACATATGACAGCAGGGTGGAGCAGAGGCCACCAACAAGGGCATATCTAAAAGCCGCGGCCGAGGGGGGATGTTTCCGGCGGGCGGGCAGAGCGAGAGAGCGAGAGAGCGAGAGAGAGAGAGAGAGAGAGGGGCACGCGGCCAAAGGCAAGGGGTGGTGTTAGTCCGGCTATGGGGGGTCGGCATGAGAGGTGAGGCGCGCGGGGAAACGTCCCACGGGCACGCACACGATGCCCAAATCCTTGACCGTCGATCCGACGGCCAGGATACAGGCAAAGAGCACCAGGGTGGCGGTCAGCCAGACGGCCCGCTCGCGGCGGATGAGGCGCGCGGTTTCCGACCGGGCGAGATCCGGCTCGGGAGTCGCCAGCACGGCCGGCTCAGCCGGCCCGGCCGGGCCCGCCGGCGGGGTGTCCGGCTGAGAGCGTATATCCACCGAGCCGGAGGACGAGTGGTCACTGTTGTTGGCGGAGGTGCTGGATCGCGGGGCCGCGTCGGCCTCCAAATCGAAGGAGGGCTTGCGCTTGTCCGGGCTTGCGCCCGGGCGCCCGGCGGCCTCGGATGAGGCGGACGCGCCGGGGGGCCCCCCTCCGGGCGAGGCCCCCTTCAGCGGGGGGAGCTGCTGGGCCGGGGGCTTTGCCCGCGCCTGCACCGGCACATCGATGAGGTCCATCCCGAAGACCGAGCTCACGCGGCTGAGAACTGCCAGCCGCGCGACGGCAAACATGAAAGGGAAGGTACTGACCAGGGAGATGGCCATCGCAATGCGGGCCACATTGATGATGATGTCATCCTGCGAGGGGTGAGGGGGGGGTCGCCGCCACGCCGGGCAGCGCGGCGAGGTGACGCCGGGCGAAGGGCGGGGAGAGAGAAAGAGAGGGAGAGAGGGCGGCCGGGGGTGTCAGTCGCCGGGTGGCAGCATGGCACGCGAGATGCAGGGCCGCCATACATGGTGGAAGTTGTTGAGGTAGTTTGGCAGGATGTCGGCCCCGAAGGAAACATAGCCGATGGTCGCGAAGGCCGCACTCAGCACGAGGGACAGCCCGAGCCCGAAAACACTGGCGCGAGCTGGGACCGGGAAGCAAGGGCGCGGCAAAAATGGCAAGATCAGTTCGTGGTCTGAGCGCGGAGGCAGGGAGAGGCGGCGATTGGGCGCCGGTGTCCAAGGCACCGGATGCGTACCCCAAGCGCTGGGGGTGGGGTTTTTGAGGGTCTTCATGTGGAGGAAGGCGGCCTGGGTGCAAACAAATGCGAAGGCCATGGTGCCGATGGCTTTCGGCGCCTGTGGGCCAATCCAACGGATGTCCCGGCCGGCGGCCGCCGAGGCTGCCATCACAGACCCGGCAACCGGCCGATACCGGGGATTGAGGGCGGCACTCAGTGTCCCCACAACCAGGGCCACCGGCACGCACGTCAGCCCGACGGCCGAAAGCGGGGCCAATCGACCGAGGTCCCGCACAAGGCAAAGGGGCAAGCTGCAGCACAACACGCCGGATGTCAGCATCTGTCACGGGGCGGGGCAGCCGGCGCATGGTGCCGGTTTTTTTTTTGGCTCCTTTGCCTGCCCTCCTGGAAAAGGCAGAGCACGCAAAAGATGGATAGGTGTGTGTGGGTGTGGGTGTGTGTGGGTGCGGGTGTGCGCGCGTGTACATGTGCGCGCGTGTATGTATGTGTGGTTGTGGGTGTGCATGTGCGCGCGTGTACATGCGTGTGGGTGTGGGTGTATGCCACGGCAGGGCAAGGGGGAGCGCGCCCAACGCACATAATGAAGATGGCCACAGTGATGATGACAAATTCCCGGGTGGCCCACCAGGGCAGAACCGCGTCCAGGGCGCCCACAGCTGATGGGGCCGAGTCGTACGCCCCGGCCAGGCCGGCCAGCACAACGCCAAGCGTATCGCCAATGATAACTGCCCGGGAGAAATTGGCAAAGCCGACAGGGGAGGAGCGTTAGGCCTGGTGCTGGGGCAAATGCTTGAGAAGGACGAAAGATCCAGCCGATCTTCCCCGCCCCCGTCCCCCCCCCCCCCTTCCCAAGCCCTTCCGCACATTCCCCATGAGAGGGAGAGCCATGGGCGCACGTACTCAGGTAGGTGACGGTCCCGCCGGCCGCATTGGCCACCAGCACCGCGTCAATGAGCCAGGCAAAGGCACTTGCCCAGCCGGTGGGCATGAGGCGCTTGCGTGGGGCCGAAACCGGCGGAGACACGGTGGCGGCCGCAGCGGCAGGGTCCTCGGGGCCCGATCGGCCGGGGTTCAAATCCACCGGCGCCCGGTCTAGAGACCCGGACTTGTCGATCAAATTCTCCGACGGATCGTTCGGAGCATGGGCATCCTCGTCATCCTCATCGTCCAGCGGGTGGTCGGCAAATCGCCGGCGCTGGGGCGCGGCCGAGGTCGGCGGGTCCGCGCGGATGCCCAGCACGCAGGCGATGGCCGTCTGGCAGAAGTCATAGTAGCCGGTCCGGTCGCCAGCCCGGCGGAGCATCCGCAAGCTGTATGTGGTCAGGCCGGCCACCGCCACCAGCAGGGCCAGGCCCAGCCCCAGGCCGGCCTGGTGCATGGCATTCGGGAGGCCAAGCACGCCACTGCCGACAATGGTGTTGGCCAGGTTGAGGGCCACGCCGGCCACGGTGCGGGTTCCGCCGAACTGCGGGGCCAGCGGCGAGTCCGGCACCTGCGACCGGGGCTTCGAGCCGGGGGCCGGCCCTGGCGGCCGGGCCCCGGTCGAGCCACCTGCTGGCGCCACGGGCGGGCTGTAAAAGAAACCCACTTCATTCATGTTGTCGGGCAGAGGCCCGCGTCCGGCATTGGCGGTGGCCCTGCTAGAGGGGGCAGTCCCGGGGGCGGGCTCGAATTCCGCCACCGGCGGCGCTGCCTCCGCAGACGCCCGAGCGCCGGGTGCCGGGGGAAAGACACCGAGGGAGATGCTTTCCAAATTTTGCATCGCGCTCGGCGAGTGCGGCGGCGATTGCCACGTCGCATCGCCATAGATCAGCTCCTGATAGTCTTCATAGTAGCTGTCGGTGGTGTTGCTTGCGGTGCTCGGCCGGTGCAGACCGCCTTGCGAGGGATGGTGCTCGCCCATCCTCCGGCGACCGGGAGCAGGAGTGGGGGAATGGGGGAATGGGGGGGGGGGGGGGGGGGGGGGGGGGGGGGGCGGGGGGGGGGGGGGGGGGGGGGGGGCGAAGGGGCCGGGGAGAAGGAGGGAGGGAGGGCTCTCAGCAAGCGGCCCGGTGCGTCCGGCGGCCAGGCGCGATGGGGGAAGCGGGGCGAGCGGCACGTGAGTGTGGATATGTGTGTATGTGTATGTGCTCCTGGGTGCGACGCGCCTGCCGGGGCCTGGCAAGCGTGGCGGTGCGATGGGCTGGTCTCTTGGTGAGAGAGAAGACGCGTGGGAATGGGGACCGAATGGCGAAGGGGAGGGGCAGGGGGGGGGGGGGGGGGGCGGAGAGGGGTAGGGAGATGTGGGGTAAGGGCGTATCGGATACCGGTCCGTCCGATCGGTGTGGCTGAAGAGCTGCCATCCCCCGCCGGCGGACGGACGACCCATGGGCGCCGCGGGTGCGCTTGTTACACACACACACACACGTCCCTGCATGTATGTGTCAGCTTCAGGGACGTCGAGGCAGGGAGGCTCACCTGCTTGTGTGCTTGTTGGCTTGCGTGTGTGCTTGTCTGTTTGTCTGTTTGTCTGTTTGGGTGTGTGTGTGTGTGTGTGTGTGCTTGTCAGTTTGTGTGTGTGTGTACGTGTGCTTGTCAGCTTGTATGTGCTCGTATGCCTGTGTATCTGCTCGTATGCCTGTGCATGTGCTCGTATTCTTGTCTATGTGCTCGTGTGCTTGTGCATGTGCTTGCCTGCTTGTGTGTGTGTGTGTGTGTGTGTGTGTGTCAGTGTGCGTGCGCGCCGGGGTGCTTGGGCCCGTGGGTGCTTCCAAGAGGAGACACTGCGCGCGAGGCCACAGGGACTAGTGGGGGAGGCCCACGCCGACGAGCGCTGGGCAGTAGTGGTGCCGCCAAGGGCGGCTGTTGGACGCGCCCGGCCGGCGACGCGGCATTCTTGGCCTGTTCCCCGGGGCAATATTTCCGCGCCGGAGATCTCGATCACCCCGGGGCTGTACCCCCCCCCCCCCCGCTCCCCCGAGGGACACCCGAGTCGGCGAGATCTCCCGGCCGCGCCTCACACCACCCGGCATACACCCAGCCCGAGGGATGGTAATTAGACAAAGCGTCAGCGAGACCCCACTTTCGCGGCGCTTTTCACGACCCCGGTCCCGGCCGCAAGAGGCTGGACCACCCTCACCCCCGTTTCCAAGTCATTGCTTTCCCATCCGAAGCTCCCTGCCCCGATTGATTGGCCAGAGCACCACTATTGTCTGTCGCCCCCCCCCCC